AAAACAAGAATAATAGAATTAAAATAATAATAATAGAATTAAAAGAATAATAGAATTAAAATAAAATGCATTATACATATATGTATTGTGGAATTAAAAATATTGTCTTTGTTTTTATCTTTTTACAATAATTTTATTATATTTATATGTATATTTTTTCTGGTGAAAATAGGATATATATACATATACATATATACTAAGAGAAGTCAAAAAGTCGATTAATTATTAATATTTCACTACTATGCTCCTTGTTATGAGAAAAATAAAGAATAAGTGAAAAATTGCGACAAATGATATGGAATTACTATCGTAATTTTTGTGCTATGTTGTAAAGCTCTCGAAAATATGCGACGAGAAAACGTAACCGTAAACGACCAATTTATGCGACGAGCGCTTCGGCGAGGAGATCCTCAATTAAACAATTACACTTAAATTGAGTGGAATTCCCACCACGGTGCCCGCATGTTCGTTAACGATCATCATTCGTACGCACCTACGAACTGTTAAGATATACACTGAGCTAAATAGCCTTTGATCAGGTACACGTGGACCCACATGTATTGAAATTTATGAATCGTAAGATGAGCGCGCTACTGAAATTGAAATTGACGATAAGCTTACGATTATATGGTAGATGAGTGTATGGGCGAAAAGCGTCACTGTAGTATTTCGTACGAAAATATTTGACCGTCTGAAACATGCGTTGAGATAAGCGAATATATTGATATTATTCCGTTGGGAGAAAGAATGGCATATGAAACATTTTTCTTACTTTAAAAAACATAAATAGAGAAAGGAGAAAAAAATATAGGGATGAATAAAGAGAACAAATTGAAATTTTATGCAATCGAGAATAATTAAAATAATTCAATGCAATAGTTTAATCCGCTTTTCAAAAACTTGAAAAGATTAATCTGTTAGAGTTGAAAAAATTAAATCCAAATTTATTTTTTCACGTTTTAATAGATTAAACTATCGGTGCATAGAAAAATTTTTAGTTACGCTCTGATGCTAAATTTTATAGATTTTTTTATTAATTTATGCTATTTCATTCAATTTTTTCTCTTCTCCCCCCGTCCCCCTCCTCTCTCTCGCACATATTATTTCCAAGCGATATGTATAGAATTGTAGGTCAAACAAAAAAGGCCTTTTTTATAGGAGAACGAATTAATATCGCGCATCTCTTTATTAGAAGATTGAATATCTATTCTATGTATATGAATATGCGCAGTATTTAATATTTATTTACAGCTTACATGCTCTCATCTTTATTACTCGTTTCTGCACACGTTGATAGCGATAAATCGCTCCGTTTTATTTTCCTCGTTAGCCGCAACATCCTCTGTGCCGATTCTCTTATATTCAAATCGCTCTGTAACATAGACTTGACAGCATAAATTACATTGTTATTATTCATGTGAAGGACTGTAATAATTTTCACGAATCCATAGAAATCATGACTTGTATAATGAGAAATGCAATATTCATTAAAAATTTTTACTAAAAGAGAATATAATAAAATATTGCTTGATATATTTAATTATTTTAAAAAATTACTTTTATATTAACAATAAGCATACTTCTTCGTGATTAAAACCTTTCAGAAAGAAATTTAAAAAGTTAAAAAGTAGAGACATATCTATAAAAAAAAAAAAAATATGTATATTTATTTTTAATAAATCTATTTAATACGTATTCTATAAGTATATATTACTAATTTTTATTTAATAGATATACTGTGATAAACATTTAAAATATATTAGCTACATACAGATACAAACTTTATCTATTTTATTTTAAGAACTACATATCACATTTTAAATTCCAATTATAAGCTATTCATATAAAAAGACGAAAAATCTATAGAATCGAGGGCAAAATTATATAATCCGGCGTTGGACAAATTATAGCCCTTAAGAATTTTATCGCCAGAATGATTACATATATTTCGGTGAATTCGCTCCCTCTACTTACACTTGACGATTTTACTGTCACAATATACATGTATCGAGATATTCGCGTGCATGATATTCTCGCGAAGCGGAAAACAGCAAAAATCGAGGAATAAAGACACGAAATACGTGCGGACGTTCAGACTCGGCATGTATTTAAACACGAGAAGGTAGAACCAGGGGAGAAACGAAATCGGCCGCCCATTGTGCTCAGGTGTGAGGCGTGTGCGCAATGGTAGGATTCGCAGGGGTGACCAGGGGATCAGGAGAAAGGGGGCAGAGGGGTGAAACGGGGGTAGATTTGCACACGCGGCACGAGCCGCTCCAACAAAGGGATGGAACAGATTGGTAGCCATTCATTCACTCGCTCGTTCTGTCTTTTTCCCCCGTATTTAACTGGGAGAGCATCGACCATCCCCCCGTCTCAATCCCCTCACCCCCGCTTTCGTTCCTGAGTCGCGGGATTTAACTCTCGGGATCACCCTCCTGTGGTACAGGTACAGTCAATCGCGTCACTAATTCTAAGTTTCATTAGGGAATCTTTGTAATATCGTACGACAATTACGGTGAGCGATGAAGTCTCATATTAGGTGTGAGAGGATTGTATGACTTCTCGTGGTAATTTTCATCGTTATAGCGTACCGTTTATCTCCCGTTTCCAAAACATGTTAATTTCATAAAAAATATTATAATTAACAGATCAGTATAATGCATTATGATTTTTAATAGATTTTATATATAGTCGATAATAAACTAGCTAAAATAGAGACGCACGAATACAATATTTTGATAAGTAAATAAGAAAACATTAATTTTCGTATAATTTCCAATGGGTTTTAACAGAATTTTAAAATTTGTAAGAATTATCAAAATATTTGATATTAAATATCGGTTATGAGATAATATAGAAAGAACTTGAGAATTATTATATTTTATAACATAAAAGCGATCCCATGTTTGTAAAATATCTCACGAATATTAAAATAAGAATTCGATATAATATCAACGAATTCAAATTTTGATATTGTAGAAAATAACATCATCTATCAATGTTCATTTATGATACTGAAAATATAATTGATATATATATATATATTTTGTTTTTCTTATTTTCAACATCCAAAATTATGTATCGATTCAACATCTAAAATGTAATCGATACAAACCTATCGTACTGATTTCCGATCCCTTTATGAGAGAATTAAATTTTCTAGAAAAAATTTGATAGCAATAAGACGATAACATAAAAAGATGCACCTAGCGAACGTACGAATGCGATTCTTCCAGTTACTATTCAACCCCAAGCGAGCGATTCGAGATTCAATAACGGTGAACGAGTGAGTACTAAAAGCCTTTTAACGTGACCGACTGTACGTGGGGTACCTTCCCAGTCAGGGGGTGAAGAACCCCGCAACCACCCTCGAGCCACGTTTCGTCGTGCACCGTGCCAATGGTTATACGTGCGCAGATTCGTATGTACCCCCTGTACTCCGAAAATAAAGATAGAAAGAGAGAGCAAAAGAGAGAGAGAGAGAGAGAGAGGAGGGAGAGATGGGGAAAGAGATGCTCGGAGGGGTACGTTATGTTCTTTCCGCCTGCCTGCCCCTCTATTCAAGTTATTGCATTACTGGCTTAGCTTTGCTACCCCATGGCTGCCGCCCCCTCGCCCCGTGCGCGAAACGACGCGGCTACCCCATCATCCACATCCAATATCCATCGCGGCTGCATTTCGCAGTGCACACCTTCCCAGAATGCATAACCGCCGAATCCCTTTAAATTCCATCTCTTATACTGCCGGCATATCTGTTATGCATGTGTGTGGGGGGTTTTTAGGGTTAAAGGCCATCCGTTTATCTAAAAGCGAATAATTCTTCCAAATATTATAGATTTATGTGTGATAGAACATTTAAAAAAATATTATAAACACAGTAATCATTACCTATTCACCCCCTCACATTCTTACAAAAATATATATATATCTACTTCACACACTCTTATATAATAATTAAAAATTATAAAAATACATATCTTAAAAATTATCGGCGAAACATTTATTTTTTATCAATATATCAATATATATGTATATAAGAGGGCTGTCCATAAAGAAATCGAACTTTAAAAAGAGCGTCCGAATACGACGGTGTGGGGTCATCCGCCTTCTAGCACTGCGTAGTGAATTCTTTATCTAGCACTGCGTAATGGATTCTTTAACAAATCTCTTACACAACAAGCATGACGCTATCGTTCTTAGTTTACGTTTTATGGTGGCTTGGATGAGGTTGTATACAGCGTTCGTGACGATTTTCTAGACTCTAGATGAAAAAGGTGAGGACGTCTGAAAAATAACATGTGTGTGTTAAATTTTGTTTTAAAGGCAGTGAGAAAAAACGGTCGGAGGCGTGGGCCAGCAATTCATGGATGCTGCACCAGGATAATACACCCGCACACGCATCGTTCCTTCCCAGACAGCACACATGTCCGAAAAACGTCTTTGAGACGTCTAAAGGACGTTGCGTGCTATCTGAATTAGCAATAAGTTTTTAGCAAAACACAGCTGTTGTTCCTCAGCCACCTTACTATCCTGTAGATTTTTTCTTATTCAAAAAACTAAAATCGACCTTGAAAGGTCGCCGTTTTAAACAATAGAAGAGAGAGTAAGAAAAATTCAGTATGGGATTCCCCTACGCACTATTTCAAAAACAGAAAATCGTCACGAACGTCGAACACAACTTCATTTAAGCCATCATAAAACGTAAAGTAAGAACAATAGTGTCATATTCAGTGTGATATGAAAGAGTTACTAAAGAACCCCACTACATAGTGTTAGAAGGCGGATGACCCCATTGCATTCGAACGTTTATAAAGTTTGTAAAGTTCGGCTTCTTCATGGATAGCCCTCGTATATATAATTATATTTCGATGAGAAATGCTAATATATTCCTACATTTATTAAATATTTGAAACAAGAATACATTCGCAAATCACAAGATCTAGACGCGACTTTGTATTTAAAGCAAACCTAAAAAATTTTAATTTTATTCACGTTCTTGTTACAGTTATGACGCATCTTAGCATTCGCACAATGATACGATCGTATAATAGTGCTCTTGTTATCCAGAACATGTCAAATGACTCTGCTCACTGAGAGGTATCCTGTGCCTGCTACAATAAATCGTCAATATTGATTGGCAACAGAAGAAATGAGACATCAACGTGCATCGCAAATGTCCAGAAATCGCGAAATGTCCAGAGAAACTGCGTCAAATTAATTCGAGATAATTATAGGAATCTCATTAACAGAGCAAGATCTTTCAAGGTATCTCATAATTATATTAATATAGCAAATGAAGATCTTTTCGAAATATCTTATAATTACCGATGCTGATCTGGCATATAATTAAATTTATTAAAGCGTAATTCAATCAATTTAGCAATACGAAATTATTTGAAATTATTACGTAATCCTTTCACTATATTTTAACATTGATACTTTTAAAACCGTACACATTACATTTTTATACCAGATTGAGAAATATATAAATAAAAAATATATAATATAAAAATAAAAAAAAATGTTTACTTGAAAAGTTAAAAAGCTTTACGAAACTTATTAAACATATTGCCCTTTGATAAGACAGTTTGATAATTTGATACAAAACGTAAAAAATTCAACAGCAGTTATACAACTACTTTTTATACGATGAGTTATTTACTGCAACAAATTCATCGCGATTGTTCTTTAAATAATGCACCGCCGTAGTCGTCGCGAACGTCACGTGTCGACAAAATCGAAATTTATCGCGATACACGTGCCCACGATTCGTCACGTATTAACGGAAGATCTATCCCGCGATGCCTGTCGCTTGCGATAAAACACGCCCTATGTCCACAATTCGTATGCGCCTCACACAAATTTATGGCTATAAGTTCGTATATACGTGCGACACTTTTCAAGCGTCCTTTGTAATTGGCGTTACATGATTTCAAAATAGCATGTATCGATTCTTTTATTTCGCAAGACATTTGAAGCTTTCCCTCCCCTCTTTTCACAAAGTCTCTTATCATATTAAGAAAGTGATATTCTAATATAACGTAATTATAATAATTTTATCATATCAAGTATTTCAAAAAATCATACGATCATGTTATGACGATTACCACTAACTCTGATATTACTGTCTATTTATATGCATAAAGATGTCCGTTTTGATATGTACCACCAGCGTGATACGATCTTTTTGTCCGAGTGACGTAAAGTTAATCCTGGTTTACATACGGGAAAGGATACTATTTCTTCCACAGAGAATGCATCGTGGGAACGACAGTCACAGAACGCGGCGGATATATCGATGACTCACGTGCGCGATCTCGTTTTTGCAGAATCGTTTTCCC